ATTAAAGGCTGATCCATAAACACTTAAAAACCAAGTTGCTGATTCTTTTTCCCTTCTCATTTCTCCTCAAAAAAACCAGAAGCAGCTGCAGGAAATGAGAGGAAAGATTCATAAAAGAATGCAGCTGCTGCCTACAGCCCTGCAGCTGCAACACACACCGTCCGCCTCCCTCAGTGTCTACTGCTGCTCTGTCTTGCACTAGTCAGGCCGCCAGTGCACCAACCTGCAGTGTCTCTGAGGCCCTGCACTGACTCTCAGTGGACACTACTCATCACTCTAGACAAGAGCTTCTACTTCGCTCCCAAGTTTCACTTGGAGAGAGCCAGTTTGTCCTGTGTGAGTATTGGTTTCCTCGTCTATGAAGAGAGGATCCTGGGAATCTCTAGTATCTCTTTCACGTCTAACATCCTATGCTTCCATAAGCAGTCCCTTAATACCAAACCTATAATAGGCAAGCCCAGTTGGGCCTTTGAACCATGCTTTTTTCTGTGTGGGATACACTTCCCCATCCAAGCCTCCTGATGGTCAGATCACTGTTTGTGGCCACACTCATATCCGGAAGCCTTTCTTCTTCACCTGGATCACTATCTGCCTCCTCACCCTCATATAATCCATTCACCATCCCACTCTTAGTGTGCAGTCCTCCTGGTACTGTATGCTATGTGAGCCTCAACACCGTAAGCACCTTCAGAGCAGGAACAGTGATTTATGTTGGAGAAACAGAGCTGAAATGGAGCAGCATCACTGAGTCTGAGCTAGTAAATCTGCTCTGATTGGTAGATCAGTTCTGAGTCCCCCAGGTCTCTTGGTCAAGTCAGGTATAAAGCCTTGGAGGAGTACAGGAGTCACCTTTCTGACTTGTACAATATCCAGGTATGAGGAGTCATTGGAGCTGAATGACCATGGGCAGCTAACTTGAGTGATTTTAGTGTCTCCAAATCTCACCCATCAGTGAACGTGCTATTTCCTTCCATACCCACTATAAACAAAAGTGCTGAAAGATCTCAGATGAAGTATGTGAGCATCCTTGTGTCAGAAAAATCAACACAGAACATGTGACATTTCAACAGAGTTTTAAAGGACAGGACCATACCACAGAGGGTTGGGATGGTGGGGAGGGACCCAGAAGGTAGAAGAAATGATATGCATAAGGATCCTAAATTTGAAAACTTCTAACTTATCAGGTGATACAAATGTAGACATTCAAAAATAACCACCAAAGAAGTGAGGCTCCCAAATTCATCTCAAATCTCACCCCAGCCAGCTGAGGCTCCATGTTAGGCAGATATTCCAGTGGCATAATCAGGGCACCATGCAACAACTCCAAGGCCCTGTGAAATTATGTAGACTGAGGGCTCATTGCTGTTGAACTAAAGGAGTTAATGGGCTCTACCTTAAACACTAGCCCCAAATACTTTTAACTGTGGATAGCAGAACCTCAGTTAATGTAAAGTTTATATTAATCTACAGTTCTAAGTAGATTATTCCAGCCAGCCAATGGAAGAGAAGTTAAGGCACTGGCCAACCACAGTTCAAGTCCCAGATCCAGCAGCTTGAAAAATCACACTGGGTGTGTGTGCATGCATGCCCCAAACCCCAAGAGGAGGATGGAAAGAGACTGCAGCGAGGCCACCCCTCCTGGAGTGGGGTAATTTCTCATTTGCCTTCTGTCTCTGTCTCTCTGCCTCTCACCAGCAAGCACACACACACAATAGTGGAAACCTGAAAAAAAAACATATTCATGGGCTAGTAGGTGGCATGATAGTTAAGGTGCTACATCCCTCATGGCTGACTCTACAGTTCAAGTCTCAGACCTGGTGGCTTGAAAAACATGCTGGGTGTGTGTGTGTGTGTGTGTGTGTGTGTGCCCAAAATTCCAGAAGAATAGAGAAGAGACTGCACTATCGCCATCTCCCATGGAGGGAGATTTCTCTTTTCCAGCCAGCCAATGGAAGAGAAGTTAAGGCACTGGCCAACCACAGTTCAAGTCCCAGATCCAGCAGCTTGAAAAATCACACTGGGTGTGTGTGCATGCATGCCCCAAACCCCAAGAGGAGGATGGAAAGAGACTGCAGCGAGGCCACCCCTCCTGGAGTGGGGTAATTTCTCATTTGCCTTCTGTCTCTGTCTCTCTGCCTCTCACCAGCAAGCACACACACACAATAGTGGAAACCTGAAAAAAAAACATATTCATGGGCTAGTAGGTGGCATGATAGTTAAGGTGCTACATCCCTCATGGCTGACTCTACAGTTCAAGTCTCAGACCTGGTGGCTTGAAAAACATGCTGGGTGTGTGTGTGTGTGTGTGTGTGTGTGCCCAAAATTCCAGAAGAAAAGAGAA